TTAGTGAGGGGATTAAGTAAAAATATGTTTGTTTTGATGATAGTATTGGAGATGGTTAGTAATGAGATTGTTAAATTATTTTTACATAAAATAAAAAAATAAATTATTTATATATTAAAAAAACTAAAACAAATATTAAAATAAATAGGTGCACTTAGTCACAAAAAATAAAAATAAAAAAATAAAATTTTTTATATAAAATATATTCAACCCCCTCATTATTTTACTAATTCCACCCAAAAAGCAAACCACTTGGAATAGCAATCTCCCTTCACAAGGAAGCCACCAAACAAGGGTTAATGAGACCCACCTTACTACTCCAATCTCACTCCTTAATCTTTTAAACAAACATGACCAATATATCATAATAGAAATCACAAAATGTCATAACATTATCATTCCTAACTTTAAAATTTACATCATAAGTTCGCTATTTATAAGTTTATTACTAAATGTCATAACACATATTACAAACAATTATAATATTTATCATAGAAAATCATAATTTTTTTACGATGTACACCATTTTAAATGGTACATATTGTAAATTTATACTTTATTTTTTCTGAGCATAAATGCAATAAAAACTCATTTGATAACGCTATAAATAAATTATTTATTGACTTATTGATTTATTTAAGTTATATTTTCTTTTTATTTTTTTTATGTCTTTTATAATAAATAAAAAAGTAAAAGTCATATTCAAAATAAATATTTTTATAAAAAAGGGTAAATTACATTGACACCTCATGAGGTTTATATTTATTACAGTTCCTCCCTCATCTTTTGGAAATTACGTCTCCCTCCCTGATGTTTAAATTTTCATTACAGATTCCCCCCTCAGCAATTTAATTTTTTTAAATACCCATTTTACCCTCACTCGGTAAATTAGATTGACACCCCTCACATTTTAGAAATTACAATCTCCTCCCTAAGGTTTAAAGTAGTATTACCAATTGCCCCCCTCAGTTAGTATTAGTTAGAAAAAAAATTAATTGGAAAAAAAATTAATTGAAAAAAAATTTTGTTAGTAAAATTTTTAAATTTCTGTTTAAAAACCAACGTAAACTCATTTTTTGAATTTACGTTTTTTTCTTAAATTTACAAACTGAGACAACCATTTAATTGATAATTATTTTTTAGTTTTTAACCAAATTAATTTTTAATTAAAAAAAAAAAAATTCTAAAAATCAAATCATACATAACCTAAGAATTTTTTGATAAGTAATTTCTTATGTAGGTAACTTATTTAATTATTTGTTAATTTTACGACATTTTTATCATTTGAGGCCTATTTAGTAACTATTTTGTTTTCAGTTTTCAATTTATATTTACAAAAATTTAAAAAATTATCATAAAAACTTGTTTGATAATTTTTTTGGTTTATAAATTGTTGTCTCGGTTTATAAATTTGAGGAAAAAACGTAAATTAAAAAAATAAGTTTACATTAGTTTTTAAACAAAAATTTAAAAATTTTACTAACAAATTTTTTTTTCAATTAATTTTTTTTCATATAATTTTTTTTCCAATTAGTTTCTTTTCAATGACTTTTTTCCAACTAATATTAACCGATGGGGTAATTGGTAATGTTACATTAAACCTTAGGGAAAGGATTGTAATTTTTAAAATGTGAGGATTGTCAATGTAATTTACCTAGTGAGGACAAAATTGATATTTAAAAAAATTAAATTACTGAGAAAAGAATCTGTAATTGAATTTTAAATCTCAGAAAGGGAGATGTAATTTTTAAAAAGTGAGAGAAAAAATTATAATAAATATAAAGCTTAAAGAGTATCAATGTAATTTATCTTATAAAAAAATATAGATATAAAATTTAATAAAACAAATAAATAAATAATTTAAATTATCGGGACCGGAATTAGTAAAAAGTACGAACCAAGCAGGAGTTTTCGCAACGATGGAAAAGAGAGACGGTCGATATCCCGAGTTCGAAAAATATCTTTGGACCGCCACCAATTTTAAAATCTGCGTAAAAAGGCCCCAAAACCATCAGATATTTTTACCTGTTGGAATCTCCATCCGTACGCGCTAGTCTTCCTGACAAATTGTACTCGCGGCTCACGAAGGGCTAGTACCGTAGGGCTATCCTGATAAGTCATCAATACAGCACATGATCAAAAAGAGATGATAAGAGCATCTCCCACGGTTAATTAAATTTTTCACCAAATTTAAAAAATTATTTATGATGATCTAAATAAGTATATATATATATTTTTTATGAAAAGATGTATAAAAAAATAAAAAAGTGATGTGATAAAAAAATAAAAAGATAAATTATTGAAGTATACCAAATTTGACCTAAATAAAAAAAATTAATTTTTTCAATCTAATATGGGTTACTCTAACCGTGCATCAAAAGGGAAGGGTCGACCGGTGGGTCAACCGGTAAGGGTAAATTTTTTATTTTTTTATCTGTTTGAATCTTTTTGACCGGTTTGAACCTACCTATTTGAAAGGGAACCGATCGACCGATGGGTCAACCGGCCGAACATCCGGTTAGTTGACCGGCTGGCCCACCCCAACGGTCAAGCACAATGAAATACTGATGTACAGAGCTTGTCCTCAGTTTGATGAAATGTTTGTTCCATTCTCATTTTGATATTAAATTGGTGAAACCATTGAAACTTGAAAAAGTCACTTTTTATCGAATTTCAAATCTGATGCATAATTTGATGCACCGTTGGAAATGGTCTAAGTGAAATTTTTTTTAATAATTAGATAGTAAAAATTAAACGTATTGCTCCCTTAATTTTTAAATAATTAATTTTCAAAAACTGTTTGATACATATTTTTTTAAAGGAAAAAGAGGCAGACCCACCCCCAGTGGAGTGATTGGCCCAAATTTATTTATTTATTTTTCATCCTAGGGATGGTGGGGGTCTGCCCCAGCTAGGGGTTGTAGCAAGGTTCTTTTTTAAATTAAAAAAAGATAATAAACAATTTAAATAAAGTACAGCAAACGATCCCTTCATAACTAGTTTCGATTGTAGAAAAATGTGTTCCTTTAATTCATCGTAAGTTTTAACTTGGTGATTTAAATTACTTATTCTTTACGGTTATTATTAACTTGTGTCTTTAGAGCCCTGTTTAGGAAAAAAATTTAGGTGCAGAGAGGGTAGGTGTCATGTGATATCTTTCTCTTCTTTCATTGGTTGAGAGTGGGGGGTTGCATTTATATGTTGGATGATGGGGAGACAGCATGGGAGGTCACGGTACTTATCTGCACTCATGAATTTTTCCTTGTTTAGGACTAATTAACATAGTTAAAAATTAAAAAATCACTATAATACACGTCGTTTTGTAAAACGTTAAAAAATTAATTAAAATAATCAATTTCTAAATATGCCTTAAATTAAGTCAATTGATAATGTATTTTTGTAAAATATACATATCACAAATTGACATATTTCAATTAATTTTTGAATGAATAAAATCTTTAAAATTGTTCAAAAAAGAAACATACAAATATAAATAATTTTTTAAAAATGTTTTAAGTAGTGAAAATGAATCAACAATTCACGGGTGAAGGTAGTAGTTTCTAGATTTTTTAAAGAAAGATTTTAGTTAGAAAATTACCATAAATTGATGAACCATTATTTACTTTTTTTTTTCACTTAAAAAAATCTAACTATTAAAAAAAGAAGGAGAAGATATGTCTTGCTAACAAGTGTCTCTCTTGGGCACAAGTAAATGGCAAAAAAAATTGAAGAACACAAGATATTTTTTGCTAAATTTAATGCGCTTTTAATAAAATATATATTTTTTAACATTTTCACATGAGTATTTTAAAACACTTCATATACAATTTTTAACATTAAACAATGTATAAGGGTCATTTCTTAACATTTGTCAATGAAAAATTCTATTTTTATATAAAATTCATACACAAAACTTGATAAAAATGATGTGGTAATGACATTCTTATAATTAATAACTAAAGTGATGGGTTAAACTTCCAATGAATGACTATCAATGAGACACAATATTCTGTATGAGTTCTTTGTGGAAAAGTATACAATAGACCTAGAGTACCACGTGGTTATACTTCATTACTAGTTTCAGTTCATTATGCCTCTCATGTTCCTCAATTATCTAACACAAATAATTAATATTCCATATTCTCCATCAATCATACTACCATAGAATACTACGTGGCCATACTCTCGAACTATCGAATAATCATTCATTTTTCTATATAGAAATTATGTTTATATAGTATTACTCTTTATTGGGAAAAAAAAATAAAAAGAAAAAAAAAGAGCCAATTATCAATTCTTTAGATAGAAAAATTATTGGTTGATGCTGGAACACAACGTAGTTATATCCCAAATTAATCACAAACTTTCATATCTTCTCATATCCCTCAATTACGTAATATAAAATTGTAGACCCCATTCTCTTCACCAATAACAGGCTATGTTTGGTATAAGTTTTTTTTGACTATTTTAGCCAAAATAAATAAATAAAAATAAAATAGGCTAAAAAATTAATAAAATAAAATGTCACATTTAAATTATAATTATTTCATTTTTTCTCTCACAAAAATTAAAAAATCATAATTATATTATCTTTTTCTTACAAAAATTAACAAAATCAAAAAATTCACTCTAAACGAAACTTTTTAATCACAAATTAAAATAATTAAAAAAAGTTATATTAAGAATTCTAATTATTCTATTAAATATTTTATCAAATCTCATAAAATTCACACATATATAAATTTATATAAATCTCCCCTACGTGAGAAATTTGGTAAAATATTCATACAATTTCTCAATTAAAAAATCAAACTGTCAACCCTTACATGTGGAGCGTCCTCCCGGGACCAACCAATAAGTTCTCCTCTTTAGATAAGCTGCACGGAGCCCTAAAGTGCCTCATTCAATAATGCTGTCCATCAGAGACAGCGAGTACATATTTCCGATACTCTCAACTAAAAATGGAGCTTCCCAGACTCTCTCTATAAAAAGCTAGAAACACCCAGTACACTCTGATTTATAAATCAAATTAAGATTCCATTCCACTCAACTCACCACCAGGCGATTTTCCGGCGATCTAAATCTCCGGCGACTCATTCAAAGTTCAAAAATGAGCGATCATCATCGAACCGAGTACAGCTGGACAAACGAGAGGCACATGCACTACTTGAACTCCATGGAAGCTTCATTCGTCCGAACAATGCTCCAAAACAACAACAACAATAACGCTCATCTTCTTCCCCGACTCGACCGTTACTTGCCGGACACTTCTGAGTCAACCCTAGATTTGAAATCCGACCGAAGACGACGACATTCCACCTCAGGTAATTCAAATTATTGATCTCCTTCGTAATTAAAAATATTTTTTTGATAACTCAGTATCGTGCTTACTGGATCACCGACTAATCGGGATCATTTTTACAGTCCACTTGCGGAGCTCTCAATTAAAATCGGGTCAAAATCCCGTACGGACTGACTCGAAGAAATTGTTTGCAGATAGAATATGATAATCATATATTGATATTATTGTAATTGTTGTATGTATATACAATATTATATTATTGTTTTTGTGTTAATGGCGGCTTCTCGGCCGTTCGCCGTTGCCGTCGCCGCCGTGACGGTGGTTGTAATTTATCTGCAAGTTCAATACGTGACTCGGACGAACATTAGAGGGATGCGGAATCTGGCACATGTTAGCTAGTGCCGGAGACACTTTTTGAGTGACTTTACGAGTTCTAATTTTGTTTACTTTTTTGTATGTCTTTTATAAAAAATAAAAATAAAAATAATTAAATTAACTAATTACCTTAAAAAATATATAGAATAAATTTTACAAGTTTAGCGTTATTATATTAAAATTTATTTTAATAAGAAATTAAAATTAAAATAATTAAATTAACTAATTACCTTAAAAAATATATAGAATAAATTTTACAAGTTTAGCGTTATTATATTAAAATTTATTTTAATAAGATTGAAATGAGTAAAATTAACGAATCAAGATAGTAAAAGATATAATAATATCATTTTTCATCACTGTGCTACTACTAAATTCTTGATAAACAATGAATTAAAACTTACATTAATTAAAAAATTTAAGAAATTTTATGTTCTCTTATTCTGATTATAAATATTATGCCACTCATATTCTCTTATCTTTTGTTTGGCAAATTATTGTATGTTTTTTTTATGAGATTCTAATACTATCTTGAAAAATTCATGATTTATTTCAAAAAAATATTTAACTATTGTTAAGATGAAACCATCGTGACCTTGATATGCCTATGAATATAATATTAAAAGTAGACTGATCTTACATTCAATTTGAATTAGTTAAACATTTATAATCTGAATGTAAATGAGTCAAATTATTATCTTTCGAAATATTAGAGAACCTCTGAAATTGTAAAGAAAATGTTACATTATAATTTTTTTTTTTTTTTTTTTTTTTTTCTTTTAAATTAATAAACAATATAAAAAGTACAATTATGACATTGATATTCTCAAAAAATGTACTATCAAAAGGGTAATTTTGGAAAATCAACTTTTTTGAAATGCAATAATTGTACTACCAAAAAAAGTTGGATTCTCCAAAAGGGACCAATATTTTGGGACAGAGGGAGTATAAATTATTCTTTAATTTATTTTTAATTGCGTTTAGCAATGAGGAATTGTGCATTGACAGGTTGTCCAAACAACACCTAACGAATCGGTAAAATGTCGAATATGCCTCGAAGATATTTGTACCACAATAATTGCACTTTATGCATGTTCTTTTACCTTTTTTCTTTTTTCTTTTATCATTTATCATTTTTCTTTTCCCTTTTTGCACTTTGCTTTTGTTTTTTTTTATGGTTGTAGATTAATTTTAATTTATTTATTTTGTAATAGATATTCCAGACGCAAGAACTAGAACTCACAAGAAATCTGGAAAATTATCATCTCAGCCACACACGTCATCACAGGATCAGGTTTGTATATACTATATCCGTAATTTACGGATTCAGACATAAAAAATTTTGAAGTTATATAAAATTTTACACTAATAAGTCAGATTCATTTTATATATGGACTTCACAATTCATTAATTCAATCTTTTACCATATATATCCCATGAGTAAATTTTAACTCCCAAATTTTGAGATCATAACTTTTTTGTATTTATATACACATTGTAATAAATTTTTATCTAAAATTTAATTTGAGTAGTTATATGAGACAAGAAATTACAAATAGTATGAGGGTATTTTGAAAAAATAAAAAAAAAATAACAATTTGTATCTGTGTAGACTTTATATAATAGTATAATATAATAAGGTCTCGTTTGGCATATGTCTGTTTTAGCTTAAAAGTAAAAAAAATTATTAAAAAAAATCAAAAAGTTTATAATTTATACAAAAAAGTCAAAAATTCTATTTTTTCTTTATTTTTTACACATATTTTCATAAAAAATTAAAAAAATTATTTTAAATATCTTTTCGTAAAAAATAAAAAAATTATTTTAAATATACTAATTTTTTTTACCTCATATTTTAATTAAAAAGTCAAGAAATCACTAAAATAGTATTTTTCCAAACAAGGCCTAACTGAAATTATTAGGTATTACCTTATTATCAATTAATTTTAATTATTATTTTACATAATTTTATATAAATAAATAATTAAAATTTACTTGAGACAATATCAACAAAAGAATCATTTTAGATAAGATGGACCTGTCAAACTTTCATCACATCTAAACGACATAACCCAAAAATCTATGGTTGGGTGAGGCATGTGGGACTGCAACATGAAGCAATGAACCCGTTTTCCACCCTCTGATCTTCATCATCATGTGATTAGAAACAAACACACCCCCACAATTCTCCTTTCCAAATTGAGCAATTATCATGACATTATTTTCCTTATGTATTGATTTCTCAAAAAAAAAAAAAAAAAAAAAAACACTATTTTTTTGGTCTTTATTAAGCAATATTACAATGAAACTCGCCACATTTTTATCAGTCATCTCGGATGTTACTCCTCGTACTCGTTCATTTCAAAGAACAACTCCAATCGAACAATTATTTGTGCAGTCATAATAATTATATTATAGGAATTGAGTGTTGCATGAATTGTCATTGAAGTTATCAAATTTTGACATTATTATCTTTGGAGTCAAATTTAAAGGCACGGTTTGGGAAATGGTTTTGTGGATTTTTTTTTTGGTTTTTTTAGTCTTAAAAGATAAAATAGATTATTTTAGTCATAACAAAATAAAATATCACATCTAATCCATAATCATTAGACTATTCTTTCACAAAAAAAAGTAAAAAAAGTCAATAAGTTAAAAAATCTTTTCCAAATCAAATTTTTTAACTCAAATTAAAATAACTAAAAAAATTAAAAAGTCAAAAAACCAATCCACTTTTCAAACCAAACCACAGATTGTTAAATTTTGGTTTTACAATCAACAATTAGATATATTTTACCGAGTTGCAAAAGCCTAAATGATTGCTATGTAAAAAACATGGGTTTGGTTATGGTGTGCAACTTACACCTTATACCTTACACTTACACCTACACCTTACACTTACATCTTTTGTAAAAAATTAAACCTTACACTTACACATTTTTTGAGGTTGCACACCATGTGCAACCCACTTACACTTACACCTTACACCTTACACTTACACCTTATACTTATACTTACACTTTTTGTGTAAGTGGCACATGGTGTGCACTTGCACACTTAAGAAAACTCCAAAAAGCATAACAGAAGCACGGAATTAAAGTTGCCAAATTTTGACAATGACACATCAAATTTGATATTTAACATTAGAGATACTTTGTGGGCATTTGGGAAGTGAGTTTTTATGTAAGTGTTTTTAGTTATAGGATATTATTAGAAAATTTTTTTTTTGTGTTTGAAAAGATAGTTGAATTTTTTTATAGTTGGATGTGATATTTGTAAGAGAAAAAATAAAATGATTATAGGATTTGATGTAATATTTTGTTTGAATGTATTTTTTTAATTTTACAAAAAAAAATTGTCTTTTTGTAAAAATAATAAAAAAAAAACCATAGTTCAAGACTTTCCAAAGATAATTTTAACATTGGTACAAAAGTCATATAATAAAAATAAATTACAAAAAGTAAAGAGTAAATTTTTGAAAAAACAATAATCCCTCAAGTACTTATCTCAAACAATAATCATTTTGAGTACTTATCTTACTATTTTTGACAGTCACTTTGTTATTATATATGTGTACCCCACAGGTGGTACCACAGCTTGAAAATGGAACAGCTGATAACTTTGCTAGAGGCCTCCCTGACGTACCCGCCGTCACTTCAGCTGCGCCACTCAAATGAATGAGAGGAGAGAGGGAGAGAGAGATGCCTATTGTAGCTGAGGAATTGTTTTCCTCTGTGAGCTGTTTGGTTCATTGTAGCTTGTAAGTTGTAGTATATGACTATTAGCTTGGCACTAGTGATTTGTGACAAATGCTCATAATTTTAACTAAAGATAAAACAATGAGCTGCATTAACTTGGACATCTCTTTTGTGAATTTCTTGAAATTAATTGAGATATGTGTAAATTAGTTTAAATATTTGATCATAAAAAATATAAAAAAATTATACTAGTACATTTCTGTATTACAAAAGCCATTTTTGTTTATTTTCTGTCATGATCTTCTTTGAGCATGTATAATGCAACTTCTTATAAGTGAGAAGTTGATAATTAGAAAGTAAAAAATAATAGTCTTCTTCTAACTTTCAAATAATTAGGTTTTTTTTTTTAATTTATTTAAGTTATTTCCGTTTAATGAGTTATAAGTAGAAATTATATTAAATAATTTGACAAAAAATTTCAAAACAAAATATAAAAAGAAGTTATAAGCATACGGAAAATGTTATAAACGTTGAATAATCTATCAATTTTTTTATCAAATCTCTTATATGGATGTGAGATTTACACAAATTTACATGTGTGTGGATTTCACATTCATGTGAGAGATTGGTAGAAAATTTGATAAATTATTTAAGATTTCTAGCATAACTCTAAGCATATAGGCTGCACCAAACTATCATGATCTTAAATAAATTATTCAATACTCTTGAAGAAAAATCCACGGCTTCAAAATAATAATTATTAATTTAAATTATAAGATTCATCATTTTTTTTATATTAAAATTTTAAGAAATAATGTGCTAAATATCATTATGTAAATAGAATGAAATATTACTCATAAGATAACTGAATAATTTCTGAGTAATGCTAGGGAGCTCGAAAATGAGCTCCCCCGAATCCCCCTAATTTTTTTTTTTTTTTCTTCATAAGCAGAGAAGGAGAAGAGAAGAGAAGAAAGGAGAAGGAGGAGGAGGAAGAGGAGAGAAGAGGAGGGCTGGAGGGGGCCATAACCACAGGGGGAGGAGGAGGCGGAGGCGGCGCCGGAGCTGCGACGAGCTGACGGGCTGTTGTTGTGACGAACGGGCTGTTGTTGTGACGAACGGGCTGCGACGAGCTGACGATCGGCGATTGGAGCTGCTACTGCGACGACGGCGGTCAGAGGCGGTCGGAGCTGCTGCTCCCCTCTCTTCTCTCCCTCTCCCTCTTTCTCTTCCTCTCTCTCCCTCTCCCTCCCTCTCCCTCTCCTTCGAATAAGAAGAAAAAGAAGAAAAAGAAAAAGAAAAAAAAAAAAGAATGCCCAAAACGACGTCGTTTTGGGCATTCGGGGGATTAGGGGGAGGGGAAATTTGAGCGACGAAGCTTTATTCATAATTTCTCCATAATATTGTTATAGGCAATCATTATAGAGAATCCTTAGGAAGAGTAGCTGGTGTTGTATACCAATAAAATGTGTGTGATTAGTCTATTTGTAAGCTACATTATAGGAAATTATTATTTTGTAAGCTACATATAACCCTTAAATGTGTGTGATTAGTTTATGTGTATTTTTATTATTATTTTTTTTTCTCTCTTTCTCTCCCTTCCTCAGAGGAAATTATTCAATACTCCTTGAGCACTATATGGTCATATTCCAAATCAATCACCAATTACTTAGTCTCATGTTGTTCTCCCATCCCCAACATAAATTGTGAGCCCTTATGCCTCTTCACCAATCAAAATCTTATGAAGCACTACGTGTCTATATTTTGAGAGTACTGAATAATCACCCCTCTTACATAGGATGATTTGAGGGTTGTGAGAGTGGAGTTTTTATAGGAGTCTCAATTATTGCTCATAAAATTTATATATACATTTTAAAATAGAATGATGTAACACATTATTGTTTTGTTATTTTTAAATCAAAATATTCATTACTTTGTTCATAATTACAAAAATAATAATATTATAGCAATTAAATTTAGATACAGAATTATAGATTTCATCTATTGTTAGATATTGCACATTACATGACATTTAAAATTTAACATTCATATTTTGTCTAAAATATTATTATCACATCATTATAAATGATTTATATATATATATATAAATCTTTGTGAAACATTTTCTAACTAGGTGGGTTGACGTCTCTAAAAAAGTTGGGTTTTTTTAATTTTTTATTTAATAATGTGGTTAGATTTTTTACAGGATATTTAAAGTTGGAAAAAAAAAAAAGGAGAGAAAAAAAAAAAAGTGGTCATTGTTGTAATTTCACCAAGATAAATGGAGAATAAAGACTAGTTGAGGAATAACAACACACCTGTTTATTTTATGAATGATTGATCAAAATAAAGATCTTTATTGTTGTGAATGAATAAATATCCTTCTTGAATTTTAAGAAGGTTCCCTCAACCTATAAGAATGAGACAACCACTGATTTATAGTGATAGTTTAGTTTATAGTTAGGCACATCCTGTCCTCCACATAAAGTTGGTTGCCTCGTCTTTTTCATGTTAGAAAGAAAATAATGTTATTCTCACAATTTTTTTTTATAAGAATAATATGATGATAATTTTATATATCTAATGTTAGAAACTCATAAAATATTATTTTTAAATTTATTTACACTGTTGTAATAAAAGATTGTGTCATAAACAAATTAACAATTGACATTGAACAATCCACCCATTTGAGAATAAATTTAATAATATTATAATGGCCACATTTATATGTTACATTTGGTCCATTATATCAATGGTCACGATTGCGTGAGTTGAAGGAGTCTCATCACCCGTGCATTATTATTTACACTATATATGTAAATAAATTCACACTCATCTCCCTACTCATGTTATTAGTTATCAATACAATCGTGACATTTTACATAGTAGGTCAAATGCAATATATATACGTGTGGTTCTTATAACATTACTCGAGTAAATTAGATAGATGTTTTAAAGACTATAAGCATTTTTTGTTGAAAATAACAATTGTTTGATAATTTTGTTATTTTAAAGGGATAAAATTAAGTATGAAAGAAAGGGAAGAGAAAAAATGTTGGTAATAATGCTAGGATGATCATATATTTTTTCCATGTTGTATCAAGTATTTTTGTATGCGTTAATACCATATTAATTTAATGAGTCTCTCACTCTTATCAATCAAAAACTGATAAAAATAATAAACTCAATAGGATAAGAATACATCAGTCATCATAATTTTATTTTTCTCTCCGAGTGAAGTGAAGTAATTGTTCATGTGTTGTATCCTCTCACTTGGAGAAAGTAATGCAATACGTCTCTTGTAAGTTGTAACATGAAATGTGAATGGGACTTATCATCTAGCCAACTTGTTTGATGTATCATGAGCACACCACAACATCATAATTGTTTGAATATTTTGGTTTTTTGTTGAAAATAACTAGTCCAAGTACATGAACTTCATCAATGTCTCACAATAAGAATATATGATAGGCTTCTTTCTTAAATAGATAAAGAAAAATACTAAAAATAATCTTTAGGATTGTTGTTAGCATTGAAAAAATATATAAAGATTTAATAAAATGTATAAATATATATATATATATATATATTTAGAATAGGGGAAAAGTGCTTTGAAATTATAAATATTTTGACATTTTATACTCTTTTTTTTCTTTTTTTAACAATTCTTAAGATTATCATTAATAGAATTAATAAATAAATAATAAGCATATTTTTCTTTATATGCTTGATTGCACCAAACCAAACACTAACATGATTGGGTTCAATCTAAAAACTGCAGTGTATATATATACTAGTTACAAAGTTGTGCAAGGCACGAATTACCATTACAGTATATTTAAATTTTATATTTTAATATTTTTTAAAAATAAGAATATTATTTTATAAAATTAAATAGAATAAATCATTAGATATATGATAGAATTATATAAAATGTATTATAAATAATAACAAGAAAAAATATAATAAATTCTATTGTTTTAACATAATTATATTCTTTTCTTTTCCAGTAAGTGTGAAGACATAAAGATAAACAAAATAAAGTATACATTTTAATATAAAAGAGATAAGATAATTCCCCATCTTTAAAAAAAAAAAAACTGAACTAATAAAGAAGTAGAAGAGAATACATATATATACAAATGACCCATTTTATTAATAAATAAATCATACTCGCATAACAAATAATTAATTTTATTAATAAATCAATTATTAAGTCAATTAACAATTTTTAATGATATGAAAAATATCTTTTAGCAAACCATTTTGTTAATTAATAAAGCATTAAGTCAATTAACAGTTTTTAATGATATGAGAAATATTTTTCAATGAACAAGTTTGATAATTTATTATTGCGTAGGAGAATAATTATTTTTTTCTCTTCTGATTAATGGGTTAAATTAAAATTTATAATAAACGATAGTTATAATTTGTATTATTATAGGACTAATTCATATTTTAAATAAACATTATGGGTGTATTTGTAATTTATTAAAAAAAAAAGATTAATGTTTTCCAATTGACCAGAATGTTTGCTTATTTATGAGAAAATCTTCATGCAAATTGTCATACCATTGGTAAATTATACAAAATAAAAGGACAAAATAAGAAATTTCCAAACAAGCTAAGGGCAAAATAGGCCAGCCAAAACAAACCTTTCCAACCAAACAACCAAAATGTCTAACATAATTTTCAAAATGTAACCACTCAAATTGTTTCACCAACCAACTAAAGGGTAAAATAATAATTTCAAAATAAGTTTTTTTTTTTTTTGACAGGGAAATTTCAAAATAAGTTAAGGATAAAATAAAAAAAAATGACAAGCCCGAAAAAAAAATAAAAAATAAAAAATAAAAAATAAAAAAATCTTGTATATGTATAGATATAGTAAATAATGAAACTAATTAGTTTATAATTTTAGGAAAATATTTGAGACCCCTTTTGAGGAGATTCCCATCACTTCTATGGTGATGTGGATCGATGATGTGTCTGTATTATTTAATTATTTATTTTTTTTCTTTCTCTTTCTTAATTGAACTAATTACAAATGAGTGAAGATTATAAAAATGATATTTTGCGAGCATCTGAATCTGAAACATTACTGATAATTTTAACAGCTCAAACACCTAGCAGAATTGGCACGAGGGCAAGAGGTTTTTGTCCTAGTTTTGAATCTGCAGCCCCAAGTCAACTCACCTCAATTGCTTTTTTTCTTT